AAAGCCGCAGTGTGGGTGATGGGATCCAAACTGGGATCCTCCAAAACAGCAACAAGTGCCCTTAATCCCTGAGCCATCTCTCCAGCTTCCCTGGGCAAGTTTCTTAGCCTCCCTGTACCTCAGTTTCCTCAGCTAGAGAAAGGAGATGGAGTACCTATCATGGAGAACTAGGAGAATTAACTGAGAATATACATACAGCAAGCAAAACTTGGCAAGTTTCTGAGTAAGAAATGAATAAACAGGAAGCTTAGTAATCACCCTTATTACCAGTTAGAGGAGGAATGAGTTCGGGGACGACCAACAGTGGATGAACAGAAACGAGCTGCAAACCAATGCAGTATTCTAGGCAAGGGACAGAAGGTGAAGTATTTTTTAATTGTTATTTATTTTTATTTTATGTAAATGAGTGTTTTGCCTGCGTCTTTCTGTGTACTATGTATGTGCAGTGCCTATGGAAATGAAAAGAGGGCATCAGATCCTCTGGAACTGGCATTAACAGATGGTTGTGAGGTGCCATGTAGGTTCTGGGAACCAAACCCACATACTCTGCAAGAGCAAGTGCTTTTCACCACTGAGCCATCTCTCTGGCCCCGAGGATGATGTATTTAAGCTAGAATGGTGGGAGATGAACGAGAACTTAAGAGGGAAACTGGACAAGATCTGGAAATGAAATGAAGATGGGAAGGAATCAGTATCTAAAAACTTCTGGCTTAAGTAATAGATGATGGCAGAAACATCCACTGAAATATGTAAAACTAAGTTGAGCATAGTGGTACATGTCTATAATCCCAGTACTTGGGAGATAGAGGCAGGAGGAACAAGAGTTCAAGGCTAGTCTCAGCTAAACAGAGAGCTAGAGGACAGCCTGGGATGTATAAGACCATGTCTCAAAAAACTGAAAGGAAGGAAGGAGGGCAAATAAGACAAAGTAAAGAAAGATGGGGCAGACAGAGGAGGGAGGAACAAGTCTTAAAAACCATGGGGGGGGTAAAAATCATGAATGTGGACTTGAACATATCAAGTCAAAAGTATCTTTAAGACTATCCAGGTCGAAGTGTTAAGTGGGCACTTGGATACACAGGTGGGGCATCGAAGACTTCTGCCCTAAAAAATAAGATCCCTTGGCAGAACATAGAGTAAGAAAGAGTAAAGGACTTCAACATTTAAGGGCTGAAAGAGGAAGTTAAGTTAGCAAAGGAGTAACTGGAAGAGGGCTGTGTGCAGGAAACCATGGGAAGAAAGTGTTTAGTATTACAGCAAAAAGTGTACAGAACCTATGACCCGCAGTTCTGCCAGGAGGCTTCTACGTTGGAGAAACGGTATGACCAGGAGAGAAGGTGAGGAATGTTTACAGCAGCACTGTTCAACCACAAAGTTAGAAACAGTATTCAGTAGGATATATTCTGATACAAACATCAATGGGATTCTATATAATAGTGAAACTAAATAAACCAGTGAGGTACGCACAACAGCAGGGAAGAACCTCACAATGATGAGCCAAAGAATTAGCTATGTGTGAGTTCAAATTTTCATTATTTCATAACACCACAAAGGATGTGTTCGCACACTGTGTTCACATACGCATTACATATAACTCAAAATACTCTATTATGAAGCACAAAAGCAAGCATCTAAACAAACATTATTGGACTCTATGTGGATAGGAAATCCACTCAGGAAAGCAGGGAGAATTTCCTCAAGTCAGGGTAAGGAAGGGAAGAGGACATGATTCAAGAGGAGCACGCAGGCATCTGTGGTCCTGGCAAGGCGCTCCTTCGCAGATCTGTGGCAATTACAGTCACTTCCCTTGTTACTGGTTTTCTACTTTTCTTTTTTGCTTTAATATTTTATTTATTTTTATTTTATGTATATGAGTGTATTGTTGTCTGCATTAGGTAGGTGTAACCATGTCATATAGTGCCCACAGAGGTCAGAAGAGGGTGTCAGATCCCCTGGAACTAGACGAATGGTTGTTAGCTGCCATGTGGGTGCTGGGAATCAAACCCAGGTCCTCAGTATCCAGTGCTCTTAACCACTGAGCCATCTCTCTAGCCCCTGGTTAGTCTTTCTATGTGAAAGACTTCATAATAAAAACTCTAATTTAAAATAAAATGAAATAGTGTATAACTGTGTTCAACACTGCTGAGGGATCAAAGTTTAAAATGGTCATTCTATTTTTCTTTCCCATGAAATGGAGTCTCTAGTCCAGGCTGGCCTCAAACTCCCTTTATAGCTAAGGACGACCTTAAATTTCTGACCCTCATGCCTCCACCTCCTAAATGCTAGGATGACAGGTATGTACCACCATTCATGGGTTACACAATGCCAGGGACTGAACTCTGGGCTTTACACATGCTAGGCAAGCACTCTACCAACTGAAGTACATCCCCAGCCCCCAGAATGTCCACTCTACTTAACCACCGTCCAAGTGGATGAAGTTACCAAGGGCCATTTGAAAGTTGTCACTAATGTGATTACCAATTAACAAGTAAGGAAACTGAGCATAAGAAAATAACTTGTGCTGGGTGTTGGTGGTACACACTTTTAATCCCAACACTTGGGAGGCAGAGGCAGGTAGATTTCTGTAAGTTTAAGGCCAGCCTGGTCTATATAGTGAGTTCCAGGCCAGGCAGAACTACAAAATGAGGCCCTGTCTATAAATAAATAAATAAAGTAAGTAAGTAAATAAATAAATAAATAAATAAATAAAGTAAGTAAGTAAGTAAATAAATATATAAATGGAAAAATAACTTGTCCAAGCTCTATCGCTAATAAGTCAAAGAACAAAGATTTGAACTCGAGTCTGATTCTAAAATCTTTACTCCTCACCCATGATTGCTGTAAAACAGTTATGAATCACCAAATACATGTGAAATTCCCCAGCAGGAAACAGTTAAGTGGAGCTAAATGTAGACTACATTTCACATTGGAAAACTTACTTGTAATACCTTCATGTACCATCATCAGGTCATATAATCTATCTGCTACCTCCAGTACACTGCCAAAGCCCTTCAACAACTTCAAACTAATAACACTAAATGCTCACTACTGAGCTAAGCACGATGATAAGCAACTTTACAAGTGATAACTAATTCAATTCTCCTAATCATTCTAAAAGATAGATGCCATCATTATATTTAACAGTTGAATAAAACCCACTCCCTCTATTCGCAAATTTCCTAAAGTGGCATCACCTCTTGCCATGCAACAGGGTGACCCCAGCGCTTAGCATTCAGAGCCTGCCACCATATGGTTCACATTGTTTCCAATGCTGTATCCCTTATTCCCCCTGGGTTTCTGGCCTCTGGCTAAACTAGGCAGCATGCTATTCCACAGCATGCCGTCATGTCCCAGCACCACGCTTCTGCTCATGCTCCTCCTGCTTTGGCTAAGAAGTTCTGGTCTTCTCTGCCACTGCAGAGGTTTTGCATCTTCTAGTTGAGTCTGTTAGTAGCTTTCAATCAACACACCACTGTCCCATTGTGGTAACTACATGCCATAGTTCAGACCTTGAATATCTTCCACAGCTCCACATTAAGAGCTTAGTCTCACCAGGTGTGGTGGCGCACACCTTTAATCCCAGCACTTGGGAGGAAGAGGCAGGCAGATTGATCTCTGTGAGTTCAAGGCCAGCCTGATCTACATAGTAAGTTCTGGGCCACATGGGGCTACAGGGAGACCCTGTCTCAAAAAGATTTTTAAAAAAGAGCTTAGTCTCAGGACTGGAAGAGAGAGATGGCTCACCGGTTAAGAGCACTGGCTGCACTTCCAGAGGGCCCCAGTTCAGTTCCCAGCACTCACATGGTGGCTAACAACAGTCTGTAACTCCAGTTCTGGGGATCCAATGCCCTCTTCTGGTCTCTGTGGGCACTGCATGCATGTGATGCACTTACATACATGTAGACAAAATACTCATACACATAAAATATATATATATTTTTTTGTCTTTTTGAGACAGGGTCTCCTTGTAGCCCCAGCTGTCCTGGAACTCACTATGTAGACCAGGCTGGCTTTGAACTCACAAAGATCCGCCTGCCTCTGCCTCCCAAGTGCTGGGATTAAAGGCATGCGCCACCACACCCGGCCACATAAAATATTTTAATAAATAAATAAAAATAGAGGCTTAGTCCTTAACTTGTGGCACTACAGGAAGTGGGGTCTAACTGAAGGAAGCTATGTCACTAGTGGGGTGCCTTGAAGGAGCTACTGTAACCTTCACACTAGTACATACAGTCCCACCATGAAGTACAGACCTGCCACAGACCACAAAAACGATGGGGCCAAATGACCATGAACTGAAACTGTGAACTAAAATACCCTTTCCTCCTTATAAGTTAATTATCTTTGAGTGTTTGTTTCAGTAACAGAATGCTAATGCACCAAACATATACAAAATAGTTTAACCTGCCTCAAATTTTCTAACTGTTTAAGTTCATGTCTTATCTCTTCTGGGAAAGTATACACTCCTTAAGAGTAAAGACCACAACTGGTCCTAGACAGGGTTGTTTGTTTTTTTTTAGTCCTACATGAAATCTGCCAAACAGAATGCCCAGCCTATGGAAAGTGCTCCGTAAATATGAGGAGAAAGGATCAAAGGGAAGAAAACAATTTAGCAAAGAACTACATTAGTTCCTTTTCTATTGCTGTGATAAAACATCATGGCCAAAGCAACTTACAAAAAAAGAGTTTATTTTGGCTTCCAGTTCCAGAGGGATAAGTGTTCATTGAGGTGGGGAGGCATGGCAGCAAGGGGCAGGCACAGCCAGCAGGAGCGGGAAGCTGTGAGCACACATTCGATCACAAACACAAGCAAAGAGAGAGAACTGGAAGTGGGGTGCAGGTATAACTCTCAAAGGCCCCAGTGACATACTTCCTCCAACAAGACTGCACCTCCTAAAGAGTCCATGACCTCCCCAAACAGCACCACTGACTGGGGCAAAGCATTCAAATACATGAACCTTTGGGGAACATTTCTCATTCAGACCACCACAGAAACCTACCTGAGATGTTGAAGAATCAAAACCTCCACTGACATTACCATCACAGTCTTCACAAGAAAAGTGTCTTTCTTTGTTAATAGCACTAAAAAGCAAGCACAGATTAAAGAGTCAACACCTGTAAGAATTGCATATGAGGAAACACCCCTGCTAGGAAACTCCCACACCACATAGCATATGCCCTCCACCACTGACACACAAAACCCTGGGGAAGCAATTTAACACCATCAGGATGCAGTTTTCTCATCTGTAAAATCAGGAGATTGTCTCTGCAAAATCTATACTACTTCAAAGTCTATGAGTCCATCGAACAGGTCACCTGACTAGGATCACACTAGAAATATGATGGAGTTCTGCCTTTGGGCCAGAGTGCTAGGAAGTAGATATCAGAAGTCATTTCCTCTAACCCCTGTGAGCTAACGTCTGGAAGGCTCCTGCTAAGCTAAGATTCCCTCACCATTATGCCCTAGGCTGGTGTGATGGAAAGGCAAGTCTAATAATCACTTACAAGAAAGACCTTGAATATTGCCTCTACTAACTACTCAAGAGGAAGGTAGAGTCAGAGACCATTCAAAAGAGTTAGAACAAAAGACAGCAAAGAACAAGACCTGCCTTGAAAGCACAGTCCACCAAAGCAGGCAGAGGTTTCGGGGTTAACATGGGGAATCCCAAGTATAATAATAGCTCTGCACCTTAGTTGAGGGGGAGGGGCTCTCTACTTACCAACCTGAGTGTTTCATAGCATCAAGCAGAAGTTTGACATATGGATCTAAAAAGATAGTAATTCAATTAAGTACGCTCATTAGAAAATACAGCACCAATTAAATCATCCAAAAAGGATATTATCATAAAGTCACAAATACTATCTTAAAACTGATATTTAAAATAGGTATTAGCATCAAAGCAAATCTTGAATGAAATAAAATAGTAATACAATACCAAAATGGTACCCAAAAGCATCTTAGTGTATCAAAGGTCAGAGTCAGTGAAATGATTAAACACTTTGTATTACAACATATACTAAGAGACTGGAGAATCCTGGACCACAGTTAGAAAACCAAACATCCTATTATGGAGATTTGAGGAAGGCAGTAGTCCACTGTCCTCTGTGTAACACTGCTCATTCTGAGTATCACTCCAGATGGGGCCACCAACTAAAGTTCTTCAATGGGTACTGGCAACTGGAAGAGTGTGGGTCTATGGTCAATAAGAAGCAAGAAAGGACTGGGGGTTCTGGAAATAAGAAAGACTTAACTAGGGCCACAGGAGCTTCGAGTAATGAAGATGTGCCATGTGGGGACAGAAAAAGTCAATTTTGCTTCAAAGAGAATTAGACAGAGTCCAGTCTTGAGAAAGCAGTTTTTTGTAACAGGTAAATCTCTTGAAATGAGACAACAGACTCAAAGATCCTCCAAGAATAAGTAACCACTCCTAGCAGGCATCCCTTAAGTATTCGATCATTAGTAGCACAGAGGTTTCCCATGTGGGGTGGGGAGGCCTAGAGCATTCCTCAGGACCTACCCACTTCTAACTCTATGAGCCTCTTGACTATTAAACCCATCTAACATCAACTTTCCACACAGGTGTCTTGTCAGAGAGCATAAGTACTAGGATATAACCTTGAAAAGTAAAGAAAGAGCAGCTGGAGAGATGGCTCACAGTTAAGAGCACTGGCTGCTCTTGCAGAGGACTTGGATTAGACTCCCAGCACCCACATGGCAGCTAATAACCATCTGTAAGATCAATTCTGGGGGATCTGATGCTGTCTTCTCACCTCTGTGGGAATTGTACAAGATGGGTGCATTACATACATGCAGGCAACACTCATACACATAAAAATTAAAATAATAAATAAGGCCGGACATGGTGCTGCACACCTTTGACCCTAGAACTCGGGAGGCAGAGGCAAGTGGATCTCTATGAGTTCAAGGCCAGCCTGGTCTACATAGTGAGTTCCAGGCCAGCTGGGGCTGCAGAGAGACTCTGTCTCAAAAAGACCAAATAATGATGATGATGATAATGATAATAAAAGATGAGAGCCTTCTCCACTGATTCCTGCTGCCAGTCATGTTCAGCACTCCATCTTCTTCACATCCTATCTCAACCTGTCCTCCATCATTTGTCTCTTCCAGTGCTGCCCTTTACTCAGCTCCTGATAGGCTGGCAGAGTCCTAAGAGGTGGGTGCACACACGCACACACACACACACATACACACACACTTTTTTTTATAGATAAGGATAAAGGAGATCAAAGAGATTAAGTCTTTCGTCCATGCCTAGCAAGAAGGGACCAGAATTTGAGCCAATGTCTCCCTCTGCTGCCCTCTCCTTTCAACGTATTCTACTTTGCAAAGCCTTGCAAGCAGGGTTCTTATCAAACCTGGTATTTCCCCCTCCACAAGCCAGGAGGTATCCAGCATTTGCAAAGTAAATACAGCATCTTCATTCCCGGTCCTTCCTCTTCCCAACTCTCAATTCCCTATATTGAGGAAATCTAAAGAAGTAAAGTCTGTGGACAGTTGACTTTAATTATGATCGCTGTTACCTATAAAATAGTAACGTTATTGTTTGGGGGGAAAACCTTTAATTTCCTAAACATATGTAAGTAGACTTGGGAAGTCTACGCCAATATAAAAGAGCAAAACTCTAGAACAGTGTCACGGGGGCTGGAGAGAAACTGCTCGGTGGGTACGTGTGCACCGACCTAAGCACAGTGGTGGTTCTTCACCTTTTGGAGGTCGTGGGCCTCGTGGAGAAAACAATGCAGCTCTGAACTCTCCCCAGCAAAAAACACTTTGGTGCATATAACCCAAGATTTTTGAGGAGTGTCTACACTAGGCTCCTCCCTCTGTTCCCACCGCCATGAAAGGTCAGAGTCCCTTCCAGGGAAGGATTCACACACAGCCAGCACTGGATCTGCCTCATTAACCAGGTTCTTTGAACCTCTACTCACCCTCATCCTACAGTGGGCTGCAGCATAAATTACATAAGACATCAATGAGCGCCTTGGAAGAAACCGCCGCCCACATCCCCACCTCCGCCCTCTCGACGCGGGTCTGCTCAGCCTCTAAGGTGAGCGCCCTCAGGCCCCTGCACGCGGCACCTGCAGCTGAACTCCAGCCCAGGGCTGAGTGGGGCCCGGCCCTTCCTCGCCACCGGGTTTCGGACACCACCCTGATCCCCAGCCTCCAGGTCACGGCTCCTACTGGTCTCCAGCGTCTTCAGGAGCATGAGCGGGCAACTCCGGTTACGCGGGAAGAGGCTGGAGAGGAAGCTCTGCTGCTCCGGGAAGCCCTGGCCCGAGTCCCGTCTCTGAGGTAGCGGCTCTCCCGCCGCGGGGCCCGGCGCACGTCCGCCCGGAGCTCCGGCCATGCGGCCCAAAGACCTCGCCGCCACCTCCCTGCTCCGCCGCGGGGGAGAGAGGGGAAAGACCTCCTGGCCGCCCGGCCCCGGCCCGCGCTTCCTCCGCCCAGCCAAGCCCAGCCGGCTTGAGCAGAGAAGGCCGAACCGCAGGGTACGCGAATCTGGCTACAGATGTTGGGCGGGGCCTACTAGCTGCCAGGGGCGGGGCCTGGGACAGGGAGGGGCGGGGCCTAGGACAGGGCGGGCTTTGGGTCGTGCCGGGGGCGGGGCTTGAAGGGAGGGGCCTCACGGCGGGCTTCTCCGGAAGTATGAAGTCTTCTCTGACAGTGCGGCTCCTCATGGCTGTTCCTGAAAGGTCCTGCTAAGTAAGGCCCCGTCCGCAGCCTCCTGCTGCCACCTCAGCTGCTAAGGGTGTTCCCTTTCCTGGACACTTCCCTCTGCTGGCCAATACTGGCCCCTTTCTAGTGCTGAAGCTCTCTGCCATCCTCCTGTCCCTGACTTAGGCAAGACCAGTTGTCGTCTCTGGCCACCTCTTTCCTGACCTCTGCTGTTTCTCTCATTGACCCTCCCCACTCAGACCAAATTGAAAGCAAGTTTTTCAGAAGCGTTTGAAAGCTATAATTATAAAGACTGGTTGGTCACATCCAAATCTTCAAAATGTAGTACCCGATTACTTGTTTTCTGACTCATCCGGATCTATTCATCAAGTACTCTCTGGCCAACCCAAATAGCTCTGATAAGACATTCCCTATTTACTTCTCCAAACCTCAAGTAGTAGTATGACTGTCTCGAAGCCGTTTTTCCTCAGGACCCAGGTTAAGTCATCCCTGGATGGCTTGTTCAAAATTAATGTTTTCTGATCTCCCAAAGTTCAAAGCAGTTGATACTTGTTAGTGCTTTCATGGCAGATTTCCAGGTTTTATCTGTTAGATAAAAGCGGCCTGGAATAGCCACAGGAAAGTAGGAGGACTCCAGCAAAGCAAAGATTATTTCTTAGGATTCCTGGTGTCTGGCAGCTCAGCTGGGGAGAGAAAGGCAACCAGCAGCCTTCTGACTGCTGAGGAAGTTCTTATAGGGGGTTGGGGAATGTGAAAGGTGCCAAAAATAATCTTTAGTTTCAAGGGAAGTAGCTTGAACTGAGACAGTTCTTACATCAGTGGGTGCAGGGTCCTGTTTATCTTCCAAAATTGTCTGGGGAACAGCTTTGTGCTGAGACAGCCCTAAATGTAGCTGCCTGGCCAGTTCCTGTTTTGCAAGGGGGCCCTCATGACCTGTGTTGTGAGGCTTTTCTATACTGGGAGAGGGTCATTTCCAGACCTGCACTCTAACATTATCTAATCTGTGTGTTTTTCTTTCCCCAATAAATGGTTCATCTCAGCTCACACATTTCTTCAGCACCTACTACCATGGGCCACACAGGTTGATAGAGTCTATGAAAAAAAAGATGAATAGGAAAATTTCTGAAGTTGAACAGCAGCATATGTTTTATGTAGGAAAGATATCTAAATAAAATAGGCTCACGAGGCCTTAACAGTTATGAACAGCACTTAGGTGTCAAAGGTGCTCAGTGAGAGGGGTGCAGAGAGTATTCATTTGAAATATAAAAACATGAACACCTGCATATACAGACTACTAAAGCTATAAGCAAAGAAACATTCTTTTTATTGAACTCACTTTGTATATATATATTTTTAAATTTTATGTTCATGAGTGTATTGCCTGCATGTGTGTAAGTACACCCATGTCATGCAATGCCCTTGGAGGTCAGAAGAAGGCGTCAGATCCCCTGGAAGTGGAGTTATGGACAGTTGGTAGCCACCATGATGGTACTAGGAATTGAACTGGAATCCTCTGCAAGAGCAGTCAGTGCTCTTAACCACTGAGCCATCTCTCCAGCCCCTGTATATTTTATTTGTAATCCTCAATACAACCTTGCAAAATATTATCCCTAACTTTCAGAAAAGTGAGCTCAACAAAACCAATTTATTCAGGTCCACATACCAACTTTCAATCAAGCTACAGAAAGAAATAGGCTGGAGATGTAGTTCAATTGATAGAGTGCTTGCCTAACATGCTAGAAATCCCAGGTTCTATCCCCAGCATCACATAAACTTTACATGGTGGCACACTGTACCTATAATGCCAGCTCACAAGAGGTAGAGATAGAAGCTTAGTGTCCTCTTCAGCTACACAGCAAGGTCGAGGCCACCCTTGGATACATGAGACCCTGTCTTAAGGAAAAAATAAGGGCTGGAGAGATGGCTCAGAAGTTAACAGCACTTGCTGTTCTTCCAGAGTACCCAGGTTCGGACATTGCTTCTAACGACTGTCCATAACCCTAATTTCAGGGAATCCCATACCCTCTTCTGGCCTCTATGGGGACCAGGCACACAAGTGGTACACTTACATACATGCAGGTGAAATAGTCATAAAATAAAAATAAGTAATTTTTTTCAAAAAGAAATAAAGGTGAAACAAGTTAGAGAAGTAAAGTATACACATTAATATTTAGTGTGATTATCTTCTAATGCTGAAGGAAAGCCAGGTAGAGAAAGCAGACCATAATCTAGAAAAGATTTGAAATGCTACTTGAAATATTATTCAGATGCACGGATAACTAAAAAAAAAAAATGCTACAATATTTTGTCAGAAAACACTTCTTCAGTACTCACCACTAAAGGAACAAGGAAAATAGAGGGGCTGGAGAGGTGGCTCAGCTGTTAAGAACACTGGTTGTTTGTGGGGTCTCTCCCTCTCCTCGCGGGTCACTGGCCACAGGTCCACGAGGACAGGGGGAGCAGAAGCGACGGGTGGGGTCAGGACGGCCAGTGAGCACCGACGGAAGAAAGCCCTTCCGGGGAGGCAGGTTCAGTGATACAAACAGCTCCAGATTCAGTGAAACAGCTCTAAATTCAGTGAAACAGCTCCATTTATTCAGTGGGAGAACTAGAGAAAATATAGTGTGGAGGCAGTAGCCAAAGCCTCAGCTGATAGGTGCTCATAGTGTGCTTTATTTACATATGGCAGTGGGCTCCTATCAACTATCAGGCAATGCCTGATTATCATATAGAAAAAACCTGGGGGTAGTTTTTACTCCAGGTAACTATGCCAAAGGTCATGTTCCAAATAAGGTCAGGCATCCGTGCTTGGTGGCACTTTCCAGGTAAGTCAGGAAGAGAGCAGGAAGCTCCCTGTTGAGAAGGGGAGTCCTTCCATTTGGCGCCAAGCCCCTTAGAGCTATCCGGACATGGAGGACTACAACCCTAACAGCAGGGTTTCCCAACATCTTCATACAGAACACCCAGGTTAGAATCCCAGCACCCACATGGCAGCTAACAACTGTCCCTAACAACTCCAGTCCCAGGGGATCTGACAGCCTCTTCTAACCTCCGTGGGCATTGCAAGACACGGGTGCACTTATCTACATGCAGGCAATACATGCATACACATAAAATAAAAATAGCCGGGTGGTGCACGCCTGTAGTCCCAGCACTTGGGAGGCAGAGGCAGGCAGATCTCTGTGAGTTCAATGCCAGTCTAGACAACATAGTGAGTTCCAGGAGAGCTGGGGCTACAAGGAGACCCTGCTTCGAAAAGACCAAAAAAAAAAAGATCTCCATTTCATTATTAAAATACACAGTAAATATAAGATTTTATCAAAACTAAGCTACATGTAAAACAATAACTATTTCTCATAAATAGTTTGAGTCTTTAAAAGTCCTGTGTATGTCTATAAAGTCATCAGGTAGATTTCAATGGTAATGTTTATCACCTCTACTAATTAACATGATGTAAATTTTTAGGCTACCTTCTCAAATATAATTCTTTTTTTTTAATTTGTTGACTTTTTTTTTGTGTGTATATCACACAGAACATCCCAAACCATCTTATTCAACTATACAGCCACTTCCCAGATGGCACCCTCCCATAGCCTCCCTCTCCCCACTAGAATCCTTATACTCTGTTATCCCTGCACACGACCGGCACCCCAGCCATTCCCCACTACTTGTCCATCTGGTGACTCTAGTCAGCCTACCTAGAGGTCTTTGTTTTAGGAGGGTCAGCTGTTCCTATCTAGCAGCAATCAGTTGTCAATATTCCTTTAGGTAAGATTGGGGTCTGCTGTTCATTTTCCCAGTTCTATGCTGGGTTACAATCTGGGAATCCCTTGGGCCACCCTGGCCAACAACTCAAAAGAAGGTATCTCCTATCTGGCATTGTTGCTTGTTATGTAGCCTTCAGCTATGCATATGGACTCTTAAAAGAATATATTGACCCCTTTAATCTTTGGTTATACTTTAATTTTGGGTATTTAAGATCATACAGTTGGCCCTGATAAACCAATTTATTTTTACTCTTAAGGCCGTTTGAGGATCTGTTCCTCAGGGGTCACATGGGCTTGGGAGGAGCCCCTGGCTCCTTTCTTTTACCAGTTCCTCCTACGTGAAGATAAGTCAAGGGTCCTTCTCGAGCATGGCTGGCTTCACTTGGAGGCATGGAGGAAATGATTCCTCTGTGTTGACCCTCCTCTTTGTAGACTGGACACTGGTACAAGTCCATCTGGTGGGGTCTCCTCGGCCTCCTTGATCAAGAGGACAGGTGACCCACCACAATTACAGGACATTTCGAGAGATGCTCATAGTCTCCTGGAACTAGTTAACCTAGGAGGCCAAGGAGCAAAAACTGTCCTTTATGTCCCTGTAACCAAATTATTATAGGCCTCAAAGTATGTCTGTTAAACATCCAAGAAAGTTAGTTCCACCAGTCTGGTACTTTTAATTACTGTGTGC